ATTTTTGCTCAAAAATTTTACTCTTCCAAGGGTCTTGGCATATTTTTGTTTAAGCTATCAGTGAAGGCACATGGGAAACTCACTATAAAAGTTTGTCCTTTTGAGGTGAACAGAAATCCTCAAAGAAAACTTAAGTTCCCTTTTGTTGTTTTGTGGCTTTTGTGCTGAAATCATCCACCAACACGCTTTGTTAATTAAATGACAGCTACAAAGCTTCTTCAGGCATGTGATCCCCTCCCTACCTTTCCTGTGGCATTTGGCTTTCCTTTGCAGGTGTGTGGTAGTGTTTAACCTCTTCAGTCACTGTCCCTGTCTGTCTTGTGAGGACCCGCTCCCCTCCTCCACGGGAGACAACGCCACCCTCATCCAGTGGGTGCTGCGGCCGTGGAGATCGGGAGAGGTCGCGGCAGCTTAGATCCGGGCGGCCGAAGTACCGTGTAGACAAAGGGAAACATGGTCAGACTTGGGACTTGTTGAAAGTAAAGATAACACCATTTCCTGATTGATTTGCTACGGAGTATGAGAAAAGAGAGGAGATCAAGGAGCCTCCAGTTCTTTTTATTTTGGCCTGAACAACGAGAAGGACAGGGTGGCCGTTCTGAGAGATCAGAAAGAACAGGGAGGAGAATCAGGAGCTCGGCCTTGGATGCTGATGCTCCTTTTAAACGTTCAAGTGCAGATGCCAAGTAGGCAGTGGAAGATACGAACATGGACGTCAGAAAATGGGTGTCCTCTATGGCTGTGTCCAGTGCAGTAGCCGCTTCCCACACGTGGTTAAGTTTACATTTTGAATAATTTAAATGTAAAGTTTTGTTCTTCAGTCCCACTAGGACACTAGTGCTCAGTGGCCACTCGTGGCTTGTGACTACCACGTGGAACAGTGCAGGGTTGTCGTTATTATCATCGCTGCAGAGAGTTGCGTGGGGACGCGCAGGTGCAGTGGTGTGAACTGGGGGGTGGTCGACATGTAGATTGCGTTTAAACCACAGGACTCGAAGCAGTCACCAAGACAGGTGAGTGGAGATCCATAAGAGAAGCAGGCAAGGGGTTGGAGGTCATTTGATATTGAATAGTTAGGAGATAAGGAGAATTCAGCAAAGGAAAGTAGAAGTGAAGGTAGTGAGTTAGGACAATAACTGGGAAAATGGGTGTCTGGTGGCAAAGGAAGGAGGAAGTGATCATCTGTGTCCATTGCTGGTGATGGGTTGGGTGAGACAAGGCCTAGCAACTACTGAACATAAGAAGGTGTTTTTGGTTTTTTTTTTTAATCTTCACCTGAGGATATTTTTCTATTTATCTTCAGATAGAGTAGGAGGGAGGGAGAAGGAGAGAGAGAGAAACGTGACGTGAGAGAGAGACATCGACCGGTTGCCTCCCACACAACCTGACCAGGGCCGGGCCGGGGACGAATCACAACTGAGGTACGTGCCCTTGACCAGAATCAAACCCATGACCCATTGGTCCGAGGGCCGACACTCTATCCACTGAGCCAAACCAGCCAGGGCAACAAGGTGCTCTTAAAAGAGCAATTTCAGTGATGCAGTGGGGAGGGACACCTGACAGAGAAGAATCATGGCCCAATGAGGAAAGATATGGCGACAGTAGAGGCAACTCTGGGAGGCACTTTTGCTATAAAGGGGGAAAATGGGACAAGAACTGGAGGAATATATGAAGATAATTTTTTTCCTCAGATGAGAGAGATGTTAGCGTATTTGGATGCATGATGGGAATGACCCAATTGATAGGGAAATGTAAGGTTCAGTAAAGAGTGCAACTGTAGCAGTGATGTCCGTAAGCAGGTGCGGACCACCTGGACTAGCACCTGAGTGAGCACAGAGCATCCTGGGTACGGGAGAGGAGGCATGTGAGGGTACAGATGCAGGAACAGCTCTGACGGGGGGAGATGGTCTAGTTCTCTTGTTAGTAGCAAGATAATTTTGATAATCTTTTATGGTCGGCTTTCCTGGAGATCTGGGGAAACTTGACATCTTGGTTGGTTGTGTTTGTTCAATAGTGATGACACTTTGATCTTTAGAGTGTAATTTTTTTTTTTCTTAAACGCATCCTGCTGTTCACAATAACATTTCAAAATGTTTTACAGCGAAACCACATGCCATATATGGCGTAAGTCCTGCAGCCTGTCTAAAAGATGAAAGTAGCGTATATTCTAAATGCCCTTTGAAAATGTGTTAAACCACTGTTAAATCACCAGACTACGCGTCCTTGAAATCCCAAAGGCAAGAACTAATGTTTAATTTCCTTTGCATTGCCCTAAGGGATCACTTTCCCCTAAGGCAGTAGAAGTCAGGATCTAGTCTGCAGGGGGGAAATGGGCGGTCCTAGGCAGAGGAGACAAGGGAGTGGATGTCTGTATCACACTTACACTGCAATATGCCTTCCTCACACGCGTGTGTGATGCAGCTTCCCTGTGCGGGAATATCGTCCTGCCTCATGGCCTTCGCTCACTGTAACTCGCATGCAGTTCCTGTGTTGCACTGCGTGTACGTGTGGTGCCCTGCACCGTCTTCTCTCCTGCATTCCTAGTGCATAAAGAAAATAGCAACCCAAGGGCTACATTGGAGCTACTGCTTTCATTGAAGGAGAAATGGAGTTGAGAAATCAGTGAGCATCAAGAATATCTTCTGAATGTGAAATTTCTCTCAAGCCCTGGCCGGTTTGGCTCAGCGGTTGGAGCGTCGGCCTGCGGTCCTGAGAGACCCGGGTTTGGTTCCCGCTAAGGGCATGTACCTCTGTTGTAGTTTGTCCCCGGCTCTGGTCAGTCAGTCGTGTGGGTGGCAGCCACTCAATGTGTTTCTTTCACATCGATGTTTCTCTCTCTCTCTCTCTGTTCCTCTCTCTCCCTCCCACTCTACCTGAACAAAAAATGAAAAAATGTCCTCGGGTGAGGATTAAAAAAAAAAAAAAGAAAAAAGAAATTTCTCTCAAAATTTTGGTTTGGCACAGCCGGTGTGGCTTGGTGGATTGAGCGTCGTCCCATGGACTGAGGGGTCCCAGTTCGATTCCCAGTCAGGGCACATGTCTGAGTTGTGGGCTCGATTCCCGGTGGGAATCAGCCAATGAGGTTTCTCACATCGATGTTTCTGTTTCTCTCTTCCTTTCTCTCTTTCTCTCTTTAATAAATAAAATTAAAACATATTAAAAAAAGTTCCAGTTTGTAAAAAAAACTCAAGTGCCTGTTTACTTAATAGCACATGAAGACAGCTACAGAAACACTGCAAAAATCTCAAATAAGGAAAGTGTGCTGTTTACTCACAATGTATGAAATGTTAACACAATCGAACACATGACTCTGAGAACAGTTGTACAATTTAGCTCAAAAATAAGAAAAGCAAAGACTAAAACGAGCCTCTGAACTAAAACTCCCCTCGGATCTCGACTTTAAGGAGGTTTTCATTGGCAATTAAAGAGAATTTAGCATTTGTCAATTTTAATGGTACCACCTGTTGTTGTTTTTGGTTTTGGTTTGGAGGGGGCTGAGAACAAAGACCCATCTATTAATATTTGGGTTTCTGGGAGGCCCCAAGATTTGTTTTGTTTTGCAACAAATCATGTCCACACCATGGAATCTTTCGAATAAACCATTATATTCCTGGATACATTTAAGCTAATAGCAAAGTAGAAACCAGTTTGTACCATCCTAAGGAGTGGTCTACTATAATAGAGGTCCTTGAACAGCCACCACCCACCCAACTTTAATTGAGGTGGGATCCCACCAGACAGCGATAGAGCCAGAGACTTCTATTTTTAACGGGAAATCTGCTTTGCTTCTTGGGCATGAATGCCCAGTTCTGGTGGTAAAGAATTTTCCACAAGACTCATGGGGCAGACAAGCAGCTATTTATATTCGTGCGTTGAGCTTGAAAGAAGAGAAGAGTCGTTAAGAAAAGAGAGAATCAGAAAGAGAGGGAAATAATATTTGCCCACACCACAAACACGGTGACATATTGCACTATTGAGACATGTTTTGTTGGAGGTCCCAAGCTGTCCTGTTTGAAGCTCATTCACTAGTCACCTGTGTGTCTTACACAAGGTCTTTGCAGCCTTTTTCTTTCAATGAAAAAGTAGGCAGCTACGTTATGAAGTGGTTAGAGGAATATTTTGAGATTAATGCACAGAAAAAAAGCAGGGAGCCTGGCACCTAGAACATGCCAGTAAATGATTGCTCTTATTTTTTGTTAATCCTCACCTGAGGATACTTTTTTCCATTTTTTTCTTTTTTTTTTTAGAGTGGAAGGGAAGGATGGAGCAAAAGAGAGAGGGAAATATCGATGTGAGAGAGACACACAGATTGGTCGCCTCCCACATGCGCCTCCACCACGGCCAAGGATCGAACCTGCAACCCAGGTACGTGCCCGTGACTGGGAATCGAACCCGTGACCCTTCGTTGTGCAGGCCAGTGCTCTAACCACCGTGCACACCAGCAAGGGCATGATTGCTCTTATTTTAGTGGGTAGATCTCACAGGATCAGATGTATACTAAGTCCTGGGCCTTTTAAATTTAAGTCCATATATATATGGATTTATATATATATAAAACCAACCCCTACTTCTGATCGTATTTCTTTTTGTCTTATCTGCTGCTTGTCTTGGTATATAGTTAACAGACACATTCTCCGTGGTTAAGACCTCATAATATAACCTTGTCTTCAATATAATGTAAAAAAAAGTTCTTTTGGTTTATTAATGCAATTATTTATTAAATGTATACCTAGAGTTCAGGGTTGTGGGCTTATGGCGAATGTCAAGTCACGTTTCCCGGTCTAGCATTAATCTTATTCAAAGTGTGGACGATATGGCATACACATTTTTAAGTGTCATGGGAAAACTTTAAATCAACATAAAACATACTTGGGAACAATGATGTGAACCAACTTCAAGGTCAAAATGTCACATAAATATCTTTAACATGTTCAGTGAGCTTCCTGGCATTCCAGGGTCTGACCTGACTCGGTATCTGATTTGTATCTTACACTGCCCAGATTCTGATGCAAGGCAAAAATCCGGGGATAGCTTGGAAGTATGCCCTTCCCAAGGTCGCGAATGGAAGCCAGCCAGCCTCGAAGAGACACGCCCACGCCTGGGGGACAGTGCAGTCCCAGTGCCCGGTCTCCTGCGGTGGGGGTGAGCTGATTCTTCTTCCTTCTTCCCAGCCTCTTGAAGCAGGTGCTCGCGCTCCAGGCCTCTTTACACTGCATGGTTTGAACAAGCCACAAAAGAGCTGTCTTTGACGGGAACCATCCCTGTAAAAGGCAAATATTATTGTACTCTCTGAGGCTTTTCCTATGCAGAAAGGAACCGATTCGGACAAAACTCAGGTCAGCCACACTCGGACTCAGAAGTCACGCATCAGAGACTTACAGGGGGAAAAGATATGAAATCTGTCTATTTGTTTAGAAATGTAAGAATATCTCCGTATGTATTTGTACATTTTTAAAGGTCTTTCGGCTTACAGTTTGTTTCTCCTTGCCGGGACTTTTCTGTGTAGCCCTCCTGCTGGGCTGTACAGAGGCGGGTCGGGCCAGGCGAGGACGCCCGCCAGGCAGGCTTGCGCGGGCTCCGGGGGACACCCCGACACCCCGCCGGTCTGGCCGCAGGGGTGAGGTCAGCAGCCTCTCCGCAGGGAGAAGGATTACCTCTGAGAAATAACTTCTGTAAGGAAGGAAAAACAACGGGTATGCCCCCAGCAAGTAGAAAGCTGGCTTTTATCAAGATCCCCAAACCCCACATATTTGTCAGTCTTGGTCACACTGACAAAGGAAAGCCCATAAATAGGTCCGTGAAACCGAGGCATGGAGGCGGGTCACTCATCACCTCGTGTTTGGGGCACCCGGTGACGGTGGGGTTCCTGGCTCTGTCCTCCCACCCAGCACAGTGGGGCGTCTTGGAATGAGAGACGGAGCAGAAATGTAGAAAAGTGAAGAAACGCTTATGTCTATAAGGCTCGTTCTTCGGGTGCTCATGCTAATTAATAAAATATGTGGACATACTTTTTATCAAATATTAAATAATTAAAAGGCAATGTGTTTTTATTAATAAACATTGTAAGGGCAATAGGCTATAAACAACAACAAAAAATTCCCACAATCCCAATGTTAAATACTTTGGACTATATCATTTTATTCCTTTTATTATGCAAACATAAAAACGTGTGTTTGACCTCCTCAGACACGTGCCATATGTATCATTTTTATTTTTTTATTTTTATTTTTTTGATCCAGAGGACATTTTTCGATATTTTGTTCAGATAGAGGGAGAGGGAGAGAGAGAGAGAGAAACATCGACGTGTAAGCGACACATCAAGTGGTTGCCACCCACACGACCCAACCAGGGCCAGGGACAAACTGCAACCGAGGTACGTGCCCTTAGTGGGAACCGAACCCGGGTCTCTCCAGACCGCAGGCCAACGCTCTAACCGCTGAGCCAAACCAGCCAGGGCTCATTTTTGTTTATTTTTACAGAACAGAAACGATGCTATAGACCAGTGGTTTTCAACCTTTCCATTTCCTAGCACAAATAAACGTATTACTAAAATTCCTCGGCATACCAAAAAATGTATTTTTTGTTGATCTGACAAAAAAAAAAATAGGTATAATTTCGATTCAGTCACATCAGAAAGCTATTGTGTTAACTGTTGTCTTTTTTTTTTTATTCGACAATCTAAGAGAAAAGAGGTCAGTGCTCCTGACTAGTCAAGTATTGCATGTATTAAAAATTCTTGCAGCACACCAATCGAAAATCGCTTCTGTAGACATATATCTTTACACTTTCTCACTTAGTTTTGGAGCATGAGCAGTTAGTTGTTCACATAGCGAATGTTCTTTGTGATCATTTGCAATAACTTCCTGGTATCCCAGGGAGAGCACAGTTCCTTGGGAAGGAGAGAGATTCGATCCATTTTCCATTTACAGGGAATGAACCCAGCCAAGGGGGGGATGCTGGAGAAGTGCATTGTGGGATTCCCTCCTGCTTCGATTTAGCAACCCCTTCACGGGGCTCACAGGCCATGTTGGGTCCAAGGCACATGAAAGAGTTCAAATGAATAAGTTCTCCGGAAGTAACCCCTTAACTTTAGGGAATGCTGATGTGGTTTTGTTGAGGGCCTCCTGAAGGCAAATCTTCTTCAACCTCGTCGTAATAGCAGGAGTGACTTTTCATTGCTTCTCAGATTCATTTTAAGGGAAAGCAGCATGTAAATATAAACAATTCAGAAAGGTGGTAGACTTCCCCTTTGGGGAGCTGACAGATGCAGTTATTCACCAAGTTTATGCCTCAGGAGAATTCCCAAAATGAACAGAGCAAACAAGGCGTGCAATGCCACTGAAACAGACGGACGGAAAACCAGTCTTAGCTGGCAGGTACGGATCCGTGCGTAGTCAGTGAGCTCCCTTTTTGTTTATATGTGCACCATACTCTTTTTTTTTTAATTTATTTTTTTTCTTTATTGATTTTAGAAAGGGAGAGAGAGATAGAAACATCAATGAGAGAGAACACAGATTGGCTGCCTCCTGCATGCCCCCCACTGGGAATCAGGCCCACAACCTGGGCATGCGCCCTGACCAGGAATCGAACTGGCAACCTCTTGGTGCATGGGTCGATGCTCAGCCACTGAGCCACACCGGCCGGACTGCACCATACTCTCATGGAGAAGCAGAATCCTATGAGTGTCTGCACAGAACTCACCAGTGGTTTTCCTTTGAAGAGTAGTTCTGCTTGATGTGTGCAGTGTGAGTGTGAGTTGGTGGGATGTTTCCCTTCCAAGTGCTCTGTTTTCAAAGAGCTGTACGAATCACTGTGTGGTTCTAGAACCCACAGCAATCTTGAAAATAAAGAAGCTACACGTTCAAATTATTAAGAAGTGAAAACTATTATCTTGGGGGGAAATGGGATTCAAATTAGTTGCAGATTTTATCCAAAGGAGGCGGTCTCACACAATATATGGATTCCGTGTCTTAAATGAAATATCAAAACCCGGGTACATCAGAAGCTAAAGTTGGAAACAAAATTGAACTGGTTATTTGTAATTTTGACTCTAACTTTTGATGTCTTATTAGGTTACATAAGTGTAAAGGCCATTTGCTTACGAGATCAAAATACTCAAGTCAATTCCTCATTCTGCAATGTAAGAACCAAGCCAGCAACTGAACCCAAAGTATGCAATGCTTTCTCCTGCCCTGCCTAGTAAGTCATCTGGAAATGTCTTTCTGGTTATATTTGTTCTTTATGTGCCTTTATTGTTGGTATGAGATCATTAAAGCTCATGTGTCAGTGCTTCTGATCAACAGTGAGGTTAAGATAGACAGAATGCCCAAAAAAAGTAACAGAAGAAAGAAGGTAGTTGAGGTGACAATAAAAACGTGAAAAACGCAGTTTTGCTTTAGACATTCATTTAGCTCTGGCTATGCAAACCTAACCTTGGGATATAAAGATGTGTTTTTATTTAAAAAAAAACAACTTTTACATAGAGGCTCCTCTGCACAAATCAAACAGATATTTTAAATAACACAGATTTCTACATTAGTTAAATTTACATGTGGTTGTGTGCTTAGCTTTTATATAGTTGTCTAAGAATTTAAAAAGCATAATACTATGCAGACCACGAAACCCCAAATGCAAATTACACGGTAGCAAGACACAAAATAAAAAGAAAGAGGTAAGAGGCCAAGTGGTAATCCACTTCTGATGATGGCAACCTACGGGGAGCTCAGTGGGTTTGTTTTTGGATGGAGTTTAGCCACACTATTGTTTGAGCAATAATTTTCAGTAATCTCCCCCAGCCAAATGAAGTCTTTCTTGCGTGACTTATCTCCTGCCAAATGTATTTATATAGAATGGACAGAGTTTCTTCCCAAGCAAGGTTGTGTTCACTAATGTTTCGGATCATCTTAATAAGTAGTGTTTGTTTTGTGGTAATGCAATGAGTTTACACAAGCTTTTTTATACACATACATGTATTTTTAAGTGTATTTGTCATCATTGTTTGGGGCTTTAGCTATTTACTGATCCCATATGCCCAGTTGTCAGCCCAGTTTTTCTCTTCGAATCTGGAGCCAGCTGTGTCCTAAACACCCACCCACACAAAAGAGAAAGAAACTTGGGGGGCTTTTATGGATTTTTCCCCTTTTGCTAAGAGATATCAGGCACATAAGAAATATGTGTCTCTGCCCTGGCCGGTTTGGCTCAGCAGTTAGAGCGTCGGCCTGTGGACCAGGGAGTCACAGGTTCGATTCCAGCCAAGGGCACGTACCTTGGTTGTGGTTCATCGCCGGCCCCAGTTGGGGTCGTGCAGGTGGCAACCAATCGATGTGTCTCTCTCCCATCGATGTCTCTCTCTCCCCCACCCTCTCTCGCTCCCTCCCACTCTGTCTGAAGATAAATATAAAAATATCCTTGGGTGAGGATTAAAAAAAAATCTGTCTCTAAGACATGATTACCAGACAGTGTTACTGACCCTTATAGCATAATATCTCCTTTCGGTGTAGGTGTGTGTGTTTATGGACATGTAGGAATTGTATGCTTGAATGGCAAGCTGATGTTTTCTTATTTTGAGCCTCCTTCCCATCATTGGTTATCTCAGCCAGCCAAAGGAAGGGGCTCCATTTATTTATACATCCCAGAACTCCCCTGATGACCGCATGCAGAGACGATGCTCTGTGCACTAACAGGTTTACTGGCTATTTCAAAGCAGCCACGTTGGAGGGCTGCAAGGGGCATGATCGTTGGCCGTCTTCCTTTTTTCACCGTTATTTATTTCTCATTATTTTCTGTGGTGCTAATGGGGACTCGCAGGGCCTCTTCTCCCCTGGGATATACTAGAAATAAAATTTAGGTGCAGGCTATTAGAGCTAGAAGGGAAAAGGCATTGATCTGAGCTAACTCCAGTATTTCCCCATGTGGCAGTCATTGTATGTCAGCTCTGAGCTGAGGCCTGGGGTATGGAAATGAGGAACTTGGTGGTTCTTGCCATCAGTGAACCCACAGCCGAATGGAAGCGATCGATGTGTAAAGAAGTCATTGAGATGCAGTGAGATACAGACTTTAAGAAAAATGTATATAAAAAAGCAGTATGGGAGAAATGGACGTTGTAGGCGTCTGGGCTCTGGGGTGTAGGGGTTGATGGGGAAGGAGGCTCAGTGGAAAGCAAGCCTGGGGTTCCGATGTGGAGAATCATGCATGTCATGCACAAAGTCTATTTGTGAATGTTTCTTCTAGTACTTTTACAAAATCATCATCTTTGCCACCTGAAGAGAAGGAACTTGAATTTGGTAGACAATAAAATGACATCTTTATAGACAAATGTTGAAGCTGCTAATTTCATAATATATGTTTTCTTTACATCTTATTGTAGGATACAAATCATTGTACGAACATAAAGAATTGCTTTATTTGATACACTTTCTTTAAGAAAATAAGATAAAATGGACTATACAATGTTTCTAGAATATAATTCTAGAATCCTTGTGCTACATTCTCTGACCTAAAGGTCTTTAATTTCACACGTTAGGCTTGTGGGAAACCAGAGAAAAGATTTATAGGACTAGGAAAGGTGAGAGAAATGCAAAGCCAGGACGAGAACATATTTGTGATGTTATCTTTCTTAAAGTGGTATTTAGAATATCGGTGGCACGAGCTGAGTTTAGACATTGCTGCCATGGCACAAATGTATTAACGATCATAGCTGATAGATCTTTTTAATGCTAGGCCTTCAAACAATAGAATGTCAATGAATCAAGAGTTGTTGAAAAGGATTAGTAGTTTCAGTTGATTAACCTTCAGATAGAGACCAAGTCTCAGAAAGCTGTGAAAAAGCTGATCTGGCAGTTTTTAAATAAAGAACACAGGTCGTGTTTCTAACCCATCAGTCAGTGTTCAGACTAACCAGAAAAGCAGTTGGGGGAATTGCCGACGTAGACATGTCCTCTGTGAGACCTTCTCTGAATGCACCCTTCTCGTGCGTGGGTGTGCGCACACACCTCTCATTGACCCCCCCTTCCTTCAATCCCACTATTGTCGCTTGTACATTAACTCACAGTGTGGCCCTTATCAGAAAGTATTGTCTCGATGTGTCCACATGTATGCCCCTTCCCTGTGTTGTAGGCTCCTTAATGGAAACAACATTGCCTCGTTCCTTTTTCCAACCCTAATGCCTAGGAGAGTGCCTGGCACGAAGTTAGGAGCCCAAGACATTTGGCTGAGTGAATGGATTGCTCAGATTTCCAAATGGCACATGCTTCTTCCCCTGCAGAGGACAGGAATGTATTTTGCCCCAGAACTTTGCAGTGACTAAATGACTCCCTATAACTGGACCACATTCGGGTGGGCTTCCAAACCTGTAGGAGAAGGATTAGCGTGAGTCGCCCATGTTGGTTCTCAGATGGACCTGCGGCTTCTTCATCAGGCGGGGAGCCTGGGCAGCTGCTTTGGGAGGGATGCGGAGCTGCAGCTTCGCGGGCGGTAACTCTGCTTGTCACTGGCAGCTGGCGGCCAGGCGAATGGAGTGTGTGCAGCAGGCCGTGCGCGGGGGGCCAGCAGAGCCGGAAAATCCAGTGTGTCCAGAAGAAGCCCTTCCAGAAGGAGGCGGCAGTGTTGCATTCCCTCTGCCCAGTGAGCACACCCACCCAGGTTCAAGTCTGCAACAGCCACGCCTGCCCGCCAGAGTGGAGCCCCGGGCCCTGGTCTCAGGTAACCGGCCTGACCTACAGTCCTTGGTCTGGTTCCCCAAGGAAAACGGAGGCGACGAAAAGAGCGGTGGTATCTTGGCTTCCCAAGAGACTCTCAGCCGCGGGTACCTTCGCGAGAACACACTGCCTCAAGGCCACGGGGCACCCTAATTAACGTTTGTAGTGATTCTCATGCAACCTGCAGTTTGGAACCCGTACAGGTCCAGCAGTGAGTGCGGGGGCGTTGAGACTAGCGGGGGGTGGGGGATAGGGGGGGTGGGCACCGCTAGACAGTGTTCGAGGGGCAGGCGACCGGCAGGGGGAGCTGGCCACTGAATTCTCCAGAGCCCTTGGCAAAAACGAATTCAAAGAGCGATGCCCAAAAAGGCTATTTGACGCTTGCTTCAGTGAAAGAGGTGGGCTTAGAAGAATACACACAGGAGCTGGGCCTAACGTTTGCTGTGGTGACAAACTCCCAGTTATAGAGTGGGAAGCAGCATAGAACTACCTGTCATTCAGAGGTTCTCAAGGCGGGGGGGGGGGGGGGGGGGGGGGATCTGGCCCTGTCAGGAGACGGTTTTCATTGGCACAATGGGGGTATGGGTGCTAGTGACATAAATATCCGCCAGTGGACTGGACAGTTCCCCAAATTGTGCTGAGGGTGAGAAGTCTTCTCTACCATAGCCCACAGATGGTAAGATAATTTTAGACAATAATAATAATTTTTAAAAAATCCAGGGGTTTTATTGCCTGAACTCTGAGACCAGGGAGCAGCTCCTGACCCCATTTCTGCCATGCTGCCCCTTAGGGCACATTATATCCTGGAGGGTGTTGATGTCTGAGTAAATTGAACGGTGTACTGCCGTGTCCCCCCCAGAGGTCAGAATGAGGTTTTGTTTTTTTAATGCTAGGACAGCATGGAAAATGTTATGTTAGGAGTATATCTGTTCGAGGCAGGGAGTGGGGAAGAAGATATCAGAGCACGCTTGGGATACGGACTTTCAAAATGAGGGCATATGCTCACTGATTGCTAAGCGTCACGCGGTGCTGAGTTTGGTCTTTTCTTTGCAATTCGGAGTTGTAATTTACAAAAGGAGAGTGTGCTGGACGTGGGTAAAGGAAATGGGCGAGTTCTCCATGAAAAGGAGCCTTAATTCATGCAGTTGACCCAGAATTTTACATGGCAACATTTTGAGAAGAGTGTTCTATTTTTCTTTTCTTTTCTTTTTTTTTTTTTTACTACTAAAAACAAGTATGTCTGAGAACTTGAAAGTCATTTGAAACCCGCATGCCAATGGCATTTTCCTTTCCGTCTCAAGTGTTCCAAGACCTGTGGGCGAGGGGTGCGGAAGCGGGCAGTCCTGTGTAAAAGCCCCTCCGTGGCAGAGGGCGTCCCCGAGAGCCTGTGCTCCGGCGTCCCGCGACCAGAGGCGCAGGAGGGCTGTGTCCTGGGGCGATGCCCCAAAAACAACCGGCTGCAGTGGCTCGTCTCTTCGTGGAGCGAGGTACGTAGCTGTGCTGCGGGGTCCGGGTGTGTGTTCCAATGCTCAGCTCAAACACCAGCACCCAGACGCTCAAAGCATCTGTTTGACACGCACATTCCAGGCACCTCCTAACTCTTCCCGTCTGATGTCTTCATCAAATATCGATAAAGCCCCGACCCCACTGATCGGGTGGTACCTGGGCAGTGGAGGTACCACACTCCACTGGGATCGAGACGGGTGAGGAGTGCTGTGACAGGGTCCGTCATGGGACGGCTTCAGGTCTGCCCGACCCGACACCAGGGGTAACTGTTGCCAGAGGAGCCCTTCCAGCCATGTGAGCCTGAGGCTGAGCAGGGATCCGGCAGAGGTGGGGTTGGGGAAAGGGTGCTGCAGACAGAGGGTGCCCCACACAGGGAGAGGCTGGGACACACTCAAGGATGGGACAAGGGGTGGTGGAGCTACAGACATCATCAGGGACAGATCACGAGGGCCTCGGGGAACAGACTAGAAGTATATCTTTTCAACACTGGGGAGCCAATTAAAATGTTAAAGCCCGGCCGGTGTGGCTCAGTGGCTGAGCATCGTCCCATGCACCGAGAGGTCACTGGTTCAATTCCTAGTCATGGCACATGCCCAGGTTGTGGGCAGGCAGGAGGCAGCTGATCAATGTTTCTTTCTCTCTCCCTCTTAATCTAAAAATCAGTAAAAACTTTTTTTTTTAACGTTGACGAAGTAGAATCCTTGCAAAATGGGCAGAAGCAGGAAAGGCAGTTGCAGGGGCATCACAGTGACTAAGACCAAACGTGAAGTGTTTCCGGGATGGAGAGGAGCGCAGCCTTTCAGACTTCCCAGAGGGGCCTTGTGGTGCCTGCAGGAATACACGCGCAAGGCAAAGATGCCTCCGAGATTTCTGGCTTGGGAAGCTCCGAGGAGTTCACAGATGTAGGAAACACGAGAAGGACCAAGCCAGAAGCAGGCTCCGGTTACCTGAGAAGAGGGCTCTGCTCTCCCGTTCGGTCTGGTGCGGAAGACGATGGTGAGGGTCAGTGCAGGAGGGGTTCTCGCTCAGCTGCTCTGGCTCTCTTCCAGCGATGCCCTTGACTCTGTCCAAACGATGAGTATAGAGCCAGCCGTCCATCTCTCTCTTCCTCACTCATTTTCTTTAAGAGAGATTAAAACCCTAATGGCCAAATGCTTGGGCTCAAATCAGACTTGCCCCATTTGAATGCAGCTTTCAGGATTGCCCGTGGGCTTGACCTTGGGCTTGGCACTCACCACGGCTCAGGCTCACTCTCCTGGTCTGTGCACTGGAGCCGGAACTCATATCTCCCTCGGAGAGCTGTTGCACGGACGAAGTCGGTGTTTATAAGTGTTAAATTGGTGCCAAGTCTTTCTTATTCAGTACATGGAGGCCCTACACGCTCTCTCATGATAACATTGAAAATATCTAAAACAAGTTTTCTCATGCTGATTTCATCAGTCCCCATCCTTCTCTCTCTCTCTCCTGCCATAACACGTCAGGTTGTATCTCCACTGAGAGGGGCAGGGTGAAACAGGGTTGTTCTTCCCACTCAGGAGCCTCTAACTCATCTCTGTGCCCCGTGTCCTTGGCACAGGCCTCGGGTAGACCTGGACATCCAAATCACCACCACCCAGAGACCCTGATCCATCCTCTGCCACCTGACCTTGTCTGGACTTGGCCTCACTCACATCCATGGGGACGGTGCCCCATTTTGTTCTATGGTGCTGATGAGCCCTGTGACGGGTTCTCTCACCTGTAGCACGAGGGGCTTGGTCCACACCTGTGGGATCCTTGTGTGCGTGTGGTTGACTTGCCGTCACCCAATCCCTCTAATCCCACGTGGAGGGCACGCCCTCGGGCTGGAACACACCTGCTCAGCAGACATGGGGAGCTGTGCACACTTACCCCTCCTTTCTTGGCCCCCAGTGCTCTGCGACCTGTGGTTTGGGGGTGAGGAAGAGGGACCTGAAGTGCAGCGAGAAGGCCTTCCAGGGGAAGCTGCTCACTTTCCCAGAGCGCAGATGCCGCAACATTAAGAAACCAAACCTGGACTTGGAAGAAACCTGCAACCGAGGGGCCTGTCCGGCCCGCCAGGTGTACAGTGTGGCAGCTGGATGGTATTCATCGCCATGGCAACAGGTGAGCGCACAGCGGTTACGAGGGTGGTGTTTAAGTGAGATTCAGACGGTCCACCAGGGTCTGCTGTGAGAGACCTGTCCACGTGTCAAGAATGAAGGGCTGCGTCCTTTGGCCAGCTTTACCACCGGCGTGGCCTGGGAAGGCTGTAGAATCTGTGAGCCTCAGTTTGCACATTGAAAGTAATTGAGAGGATGTCTTGCAGGGCTTGTTGTTTTTTCATGAGTAAATAAGATAATATAAAGCACTTAGTACCCAGTGCTGGTGTTTGCAGTTGCTGTTAAATCCACCACTAGCGTCTTCTATATTCTAGAAAAGTCACTCCCAGTCTTGACTCGTCTGGTGCTCATGTCACGTTTCCGAAGGATAGCTAACGTTTTCAAACCACTGCTGTGCACCATGCCGAATACTTTACATGCATCTGCTGTTCTCTTTCTGCCTCCTTTCAATGGTCTTATCAGTGGGCATTCTCGTCCCTGTTATGTGGATGAGGTTGGCAAAGCTCAGAGTTAGGCATTTCAGCCAAAGAACCTCCCCCCTCCAGCTTCTTCAGCTTATCAGGTGTTAGTGCCCCCCTTCATCTTGGAAGACTTAGGTGATGTGTTGGTCACACTGGTTTGGCTCTTATTGGTAGGAGCAGGTGATGCTAAGTCTGAGAGAACAGTGTGTCCCTAGGGACCCTCAATTATGTGTTGGCCCTCACAGCACTCCAACCAACAGATGGAGCACCACTCTTGAGAGAACTCGCTGGCTTGAGGGGTGGGTGCGAGTACAAGATGTGTATATGTGTGTGTTTCTGTGTTTATATACACATGTCTGTATACTGTTGACCCTTGAACAACATGGGTTTGAATTGCACAGGTCCACTTATACGTGGATTTTTTTCAATACTGTATTTTCTCCATAGCATTTTTTCCCTAGCTGACTCAATTGTAAGACTACAGTATATCATATAAATAATACAAACTATGTGTTAATTGACTATGTCATCGGTAAGGCTTCTGGTCAAACAGCTGGCTATCAGTAGTTAAGTTTCGGGGAGTCAAAACTACACATGGATGTTCAGCTGCACAGGGAGTCAATACCCCTAACCCACATTGTTCAAGAGTCAACTGTGTATGTATGTGCGTGTGTGTGTGTGTGTGGGGGGGGTCTGGGAAGTAAAACATGCAGGAAAGGAAATTAGCATGGTTTTATTTCTCTAAGTGGCTAGGCACTATACTTATGTGGTTATCTCTTTACTAAGCGCAATACCTGTTGCTATAGATTGCTTTTTAATAATTTATCATTATTTTCCAGGCTTGGAAATTGATTCTTATACGATTATTTAGATTAGAGCAGAATTGCCAGCAAGCCAAACACGCTCCCTGCCCGTCGGTGCTAGAAAGGCAGAGCGGAAATGCAGCAACAGGTGGTCCACAGGAAGAGTCTGCCAACTCCTGGCCTAGATGATTTGATAACCAACATACAGCTATATTGAATCTGGGGCGAATTATCAACTCATATTCTTTCCACCCCGAATACCAGTCTAGATAGTGAGGAGGTCTTCAGCTGCAAGAAAATAAAAACTATAACCCAGTGAATTTTAGAAAGCAAAACAAAAATAATCAATTGAAAAGGCTGCCCTTTTCCTTGATATTTTCTTGTTCATTCTTTTGTTATGTTATTTTGCTCAGACGCACATGAAAATGTAAGAACATTAAGAGTCCTTGTTAGTCATCTATGTTTCTTTTTATTCTAATGGGACAGGACCCTATCCGCCATGCGGGGCAGGGACTTGGCGGGGCACCCGGCACAATTCCAGAGCTGTCTGAGCATCGTCTCTTGCCGTCCTAGTTTTGAACCATCCCCTCCACGAATGCATCTGCAGGGATTACTTGGAATTCTCTAACTACTGTGATTAATCGCCTAGATGTGTCTGTATTTGTTTCTGCATTCTTACGGCAGCTTCTGTATTTCTGGAAGCTCTCTTCTTTATGAGTCACTTAACTGGGAGAGACACCCTCTTGGGTGAGACAGATAGCATTAGCCGGAGACCCTTCTAATCAGGTCAGATGACTCCCACATGTTAGAAAGACTGTGGCCCGCAAGCACGTGTACCTGGCTCTGGACGGTTCCTTTTATCAGCAGGCACCTTGGCAATGTCGTGGAGCATGGAGATTCTTCTTTGATGTCACTGACATTGGAAGGATACCATCCAGCTGCGTTTCTGACTCCTCCCTCTCTTCCCTCTTCCGCAGTGCACAGTGACCTGTGGAGGAGGGGTCCAGACCCGATCCGTCCACTGTGTCCAGCAGGGCCGGCCTTCCTCGAGTTGCCTGCTCCGACAGAAACCTCCAGTGATACGAGCCTGTAATACTAACTTCTGCCCGGCTCCTGCAAAGAGAGGTAAAAAGGACCCCACACTCCAGTCAATTTTACTGGTCTTCAAAGAATATTTCAAAACCCCATACTTGGTTGTGCAGCTTGTACAGTCCACGCCTCTAGGGGGTGCCATTCACGTCAAAGTCTCTGTGCATAGCGCTCCTTGGAGGTGTGCAAGGCGCAAATCCAGGCAGTTCTTCTCAACATGATCCCGTGTGCAGGGAACACTTTGTTCTGGGGTAAGGCTTTTTAGTCATGAATTCTTACTTCAAAAGGGAGAAATGGTCATCTTGAGAGTCCATTTCTCTAAAATTTTTTTTTTCCTCACCCAAGAACATTTTCCCACTTTTTTGTTCAGATAGAGTGGGAGAGAGAAACACCAACGTGAAAGGGACACATTGAGTGGCTGCCACCCGCACAACCCAACGAGGGCCAGGGATAAACTGCAACCGAGGTACGTGCCCTTAGCGGGAACCGAACCCGGGTCTTTCCGGAGCGCAGGCCGACTCTCCAACCACTGACCCAAACTGGCCGGGGCTCTAAAGTAAATTTTAATTGAATAAACACATGAGTGTTTATAGTTATAGTCTCTGTGTGCCAGAGACTATAGTAACCCGTGGGAATGAATGAGTGAAAAAGAATTGCCCTCAAGGAGCTCACATTTTAATTGAGAAGACATTTTACAGTCAATTACAGTGACTAGGTATTGTCCCAGGACAATAGCTGAAATGTTTTCTCAATTCAGATGAAGTGCAGTGAGTGCTCATGGGAAAAAGTCAATGACTGCACTACACCATTCCTCACTAGCGCAGCGTATTTCAAACACCACAAGATATTTTTCAGCCTAAACAGATTTCCTTGGGCTGAGGACTCGTGTACTTGCTGAGTTGTCTTTTTCTGGAATCCCAGCTTTTCCTACGACTGTCTGATCTCCTACTCTGTGCTTGCCAATTTGTGGTGAATCAGATTCAGGACTGCTCCTCACTTCCCACCTCTGCCTACACAGTAGTTTATCTCCTTCTTATATAGCCTTAGCTCCTGCCTCTGGCATCCCTCTCCCTTATCTTATCTGAGGCTTGCACAGGACCAGAAAGCTAGTAATGGAGCAGCTGCCCAGAGACAGGTCACCTCTGGGCAATGCTGGAATTCTGCAAACCTGCAGCCTTTCTCAACAGAAGGCGTACGGGGGTTTGAGGGGTGGTGCACACATTTTGAGCAAGTGGTCATGTTTTCCCAAACCACTTCCACCCTTCAGTCAGATGGCTTCAGACGCAACCTCACATGCAGAGACTGTGGGAACCAGATCTGGGGCCTCGCCCACCAATGTAAGAACTGCCTTTTTACTCTGAGTGGCTGAGAGCTAACAGGAGAGTTTGGGACAGAGACGTGACATACACTGGCTTAATTTTTCAAGGGATCACTGTTAGATGGAATGTGTGTGTAAAGGGGAATTTTAGGCAGAAGAACCAAGGCTTGAAGAGTGAGCTGTAGGCAGTTCTGAATCATGGAATGATCGGCTACAAATTGGGAGCTTTGCATGCTGTGACCTAAGGCACAGTGCAGAGCCACTCAAGGATGGAATCAGAAGGCACATGAGTAGATGCCAGTGTGTGGTTTCGGGCGAATTGAAAGTTAAGGCAACTTCAGGTTTGCACAGAGGAGAGGAAAACCATCCCAGCCTTGAAAGAGAATATTCACGTCGAGGGTAGACCTTAAATATTATTGAAGTCAAAACTTCTTGAGAATCCAGTAACACGACTGGGCCCTAACTCCTCAAACATGTATTTATGTTTACACAAAGAACATTGTACAATCTCATGTGCATTCTGGGTAAGAATCCCTGATGTGCACTGTCCCTAATCAATAATCACATCTGTTTTCCTACTTAAAGAAGTAGGAAAGGACTGGTGTTGATATATAACCAATCTGCAAGTAAATGGATTTAAGATTTAAACCCACAGCCCTGGCCGGTTTGGCTCAGCGGTTAGAGCGTCGGCCTGCGGTCCGGAGAGACCCGGGTTCGGTTCCCGCTAAGGGCACGTACCTTGGTTGCAGTTTGTCCCTGGCCCTGGTTGGTCGTGCGGGTGGCAGCCACTCGATGTGTTCCTTTCACATTGATGTTTCTCTCTCTGTTCCTCTCTCTCCCTCCCACTCTACCTGAACAAAAAAATGGGAAAATGTCCTCGGGTGAGGATAAAAATAAATAAATAAAAAGATTTAAACCCACAGAGAGTGTTGCAGCTGGGCCTCCAATCCAGGTGTCCCAACTCCCAATACGTTGGGCTCCTTACTCCTCAAAGTAACTTCATGACCCAGCAGCATCCCCTGCATGCTTATTAGAAATATAGAATCCTGGCACTCACCATGGACCCTCCGCTGTTTTGGGTACTTCCCTTGGATGCAAAATGGTACCCCACAGGCTATTTGGGAAGGATCAGATAATCTCTGGCTACATATGACTTTTTCCCTTAACATCCACTCCCCCCCTTATCAATTTTTGCTAATGGTCATAGTCATTGTTGATGTCTTAATCCTGCTCCCCCCACCCACCTCCCAAAGTCCGAATGGTTAAGAAGAAAAACCGCTCAGAACTACAGGCAGGTCTTTCAGCTGTAGGCTTTCACCGTAAGAAAAAGAGACGGAGCCTTTTCCTAACCTGCTAAATATGTTTTCTCATTTTAGAGGATCCATCCTGTGTAGATTTCTTCAGCTGGTGTCATCTAGTCCCTCAACACGGCGTCTGCAACCACAAGTTCTACGGCAAACAGTGCTGTAAGTCATGCACGAGGAAGAGCTGATGCCCTCCCTGCACCTGGGGCCAGGGTCTCACCTGTCAGCGCAAGAGCTCACAGGTGGTTCGCGGTGTTGAGGGGCCAGCTCCGAAGAACAGATGGGCTTCTTTTTCAGTTCCCCAAGGCACAAGGTACTCCGAAGCACTTGAAAATGGGAAGCGATGACAAATCTGACTCACAAAAGAAAGACAAATGAAAACAACGTTGATTTGCACTGTGACATGAAAGAAGGGATGAATCACACTGAGAGATGTCAACTTTTAATTATGTCCAAGTGAGAATCTGGTCAACTTGGGGACACACCCTCCTCCCCGTGAATTGCAAAGGGTTCCATGGCAAAGACAGCTGTTTCAAAAGGGTCCTTCGAGACTTCGGGTCAGAGACGGGGAGCTGGGGGAATCAGACATGGACGGAACGTATTCTTGGAGCTCCCAGTTGGGCTGACACTGCGGATCCCCCAAACCAGGAGTTACACAAGAAGCCAGATGGTGCTAACGACAGTGCTTGCTGCTGGACTAGCAAGCTTCACGTTACGTTTATTTAGTGTGTGTGTGTTGTTTTTATTATTTTGTTGAAAGTATATTCTGCTTCTAGAGAGTCTCCAAGACTAAAATTCACAACTTGAAAAGTGTTCCAAGGAATATTCTCAAAACAGAGCAACACGGACTATTTAAGATCTCCATTTAATTGAACTTCACACTCTGGGGGAAAAAAAGCTCTTAAGAAAGATAACTGTTGATGCCCTACACATTATAGTAACCTCGTCACTGTTGGTGCTAGGCAGGGTCCTCGAGTCTGTTCTTTGGGAATCAGAACTGGTGAAATGCACATTTCTGGTAAAAATCTAGGAGGTGTTAAATAGCAGCGTGTTGAAAGAGAGGAGACCATTATTCGTAATGCTTCCTACTTATTGTCAGAGCTGCTTGGAAAATTAAAGGCCACTTGTGGTTCTTTCCTACCAACTGACATGTTTAAATTTGCCCTGAGATGTCGTGAACAAGAGAAAAAGTCAGAGTGGCAATAGAAAAATCCATCTGTCTTCCTGATATGTTAATATTAATAAGTCATAATATGCCAAACCATTCAATGAATAAGAGGATTTTACAATCTTTCAGATGATATTTTCAGTCTTCAAAAGCCAACTGTTGGTTGGCACTAATGAGCTTAAAATTGTTCTCAATTGCAGAAACACCACGCTATTTTGCCAAAACCAAAGTAACTTACAAGACTGGGTCCTTCTGTGATTTTTTTGAGATGTGGCTATAAAAGATGTATTTATATAATTCTACTCTAGTCCTCAGTTGTTGTTTTTTTTAATGAATGTAACCCAGTTTTTACTGCTTTAAAAAGTCTCAATTCAAACAGGGCTTGGGCAGCCCAACCAACTAGATAGTGGTTTATTTGTTAGAACAGCCTTCATTCCCATTCAAATCCTCCATTCTCGAGTCTCAAAGAACCAATTGGAATATTCCCTTAACTCTCTGCGTCTAGAGTAGTGGTTATTATCATTGGGGTAGGGGTGGGGGGGAGAGTTCTACATCACCACCCTCTGAAAAATTACAAGTTCTTTGTTTCTTTATATAATTATCATTTTATTTTATGGAAAAATTAATTTATTAATTAATAGCCTATTGTTACGTGTTCTCACTTGCTTCTCTGAGTGCTATTAATTCTGAGGAAAAGTGTTGAATAAAACCATGGGTTAAAGAGAAAAGTCAGAATATATGTGTAATATTTAATTATTTTATAAGTTTTATAATAAAGTGTTCTGTTTATCTTTGAAACTTGTTAAGTTCTTGAATAAATTAGTGAGAATTCGGTTATTTCCAAGGTGCTTTAACTGTAGAGATGTTACGTTTTCTTAGGGAAGAGTTGAGAGATTTTTAGGGGCAAAAGATCAGAAACAGGTGACTATTTACCATCTTAGGAGTATTTTCTTTTTTATTCTAATGGTCATGTAAACATTTAAGAAAATTGTCCAAGTTAGTTAGATAAACCATTAATGTAGTTGGTTTTCTTTTTTCCCAGCTGAAAGTCATTCTGGTAAAAACTTGTTTTATAAAGGGAGAAGGAAAGAAAATAAAACTAAATAAGAGCCCAGAAATCAATCCATGCCTATATGAGCAGTTAATCTATGACAAAGGAGGCAAGATTGTATGATTGGGTAAAGACAGCCTTTTCAATAAATAGTGTCGGGAAAACTGGACATGATATGTGCAAAAAAAAAAAAAATGATCACTTTCTTACCTTATATACAAAAGTAAACCCAAAACTATAAAACTCCTAGAGGAAAACATAGGAAGTAAATTCTTTGACATCACTCTTAAAAATATTTTTTTGGATATGGCAAATAAAGAAAAAAATAAGCAAATGGGACCACATCAAACTTAAAAGATTTTGAACAATGAAGGAAGCCATGAACAAAAGGAAAAGAACTACTAAATGGGAGAAGATACATCCAGTAAAGGTTTAATATTCAAAATTAAACCCTTAGAAATTTACGCAACTTAATGACAAAAAACCACCAAACCATTTGATTAAAAAAATGGGCAGAGAACCTGAATAGACATTTCTTTAAAGAGGACATACAGATAGCAAACAGACATATGAGATGCTCAACATCATGAATCATCAGAGAAATGCACATTAAAACCACAATGAGCCCTGGGCTCGATTCCAGTCAAGGGAATGTACATCAGTTGCATTTCATCCCTAGTCAGGGTCGTGTGGGAGGCAAGCAGTTGATGTCTCTCTCTCTCACCCTCTCTCCCTTCCACTCTATCTGAAGGTAAATAGAAAAATATCCTCAGGTGAAAATTTAAAAAAACAACAAAAAACAACAATGAGATATCACCTTACACCTGTCAGAATGGCTATCCTCAATAAATCAATGAACAACAAGTGTTGGCAAGATTGTGCAGAAAAGAGAACCCTCATACACTGTTGCTGGGATTACAAACACTATGGAAAACAGTACGGAAGTTCTCAAAAAATTAAAAATAGAACTACTATATGATCCAGAAATTCCACTTCTGGGTATTCATTTGAAGAAACCCAAAGCACCAACTTGAAAAGATATATGCATCCCTATGTTCATTGCAGCATTATATATAATAGCCAAGATATGGAAGTTACCGAAGTGTCCATCAATAGATAAATGGATAATGAAGTGGTAGAATGGAATAATACTCAGCCATAAAAAAGAGTCTCATCTTACCATTTGGATGGACCTGGTGAATATTATGCTAAGTAAAATAAGTCAGTCAGAGAAAGACCAATACCATATATTTCACTTATATGTGGAATCTAAAAAAACAAAATAAATGAACAAACAAAACAGAAACAAATTCATAGGGAAAGAGAAAAAAAATGAGTTGCCAGATGAGAGAGGAGTTGGAAGAATGGGTGAATAAATTAAAGGGATTAAGAAGTATAAATTGGCAGTTAAACAGTCACAAGGATGTAAAGTACAGAATAGGGAATATGGTCAATAATATTGTAATAACTATGTATGGTGCCAGATGGGTACTAGACTTATTGGGGTAATCACTTAACAGTTACATAAATGTCCAATCACTATATTGTGCATTTGAAATTAATATAATATTGTGTATGTCAACTGGAAATCAAAGAAAAATATTTTTAAAAGTGAAAGAAGAAGAGAAAAATAGAAAACATAAACTGTGCTTATGTTCCTTTGGCTGGTTTTCCTCAAAACAGAGACTAAGGAAAGGGCTGTAATTGGAGCTAAAGCCCAGAGCTGTGATGTCAACCTCAAAAGAAACAATCTCAAAACAAAACAAAACAAAAAACTTAGTGCTTCATTTACAAATTCTAATTCTAAAGAGTGGGCCCTGCCCACTTCAGTTGTAGTGAATTTATTTCAGCAGTATTTAGTACTCCACAGTCCCTACCCATAAGTTTCTTAAATTTCTACATAATTGTGCCCCCAGCTCAGGATCATTCTGGGCCATGATTATAAATTTTATATACAATTTTTTTTATTGACTACTATACCAAATCTTTGTGCAATCATCAATTTTTTACCCTAGTAAACATTCACTTTTTTTTTTTTCCAAAAATTAAATTAAAAAGCAATTTTTCTCAGGCTTTTCAAATTTTGAATCATCAGACTAGTGGAGAATAAAAGCTATCTGGGCAAAGTGAATCCAACTGACCTGAATAAAAAGTGCCTTTCCCTGCATATATGTAATATGTGGATTATTCATGCATGCATACCTTTAAAATAGATTTAAGAGGATTTTATATGAAATATCGCTAATGGGCAAACAAAAAAATTCAGTTAAAAATGAAAAATGGTATAGATGGCAGAAAAAAGACAGTATCTCTTTACACCTTTAGGTAATAATATATTAATAAAAGTAACCATATATTTGTGTTTAATGGGTGCCAGGTACTATACTAATAAGGCCTTAATATGTGTTATCTCATTCAATCCACAACAGCCTAGTTAGGAAGACAGTGTTGTCTTCCCATTGCAGATGAGGACTCTGGATTCATGGTCATCAAGGTGGGTCAGCACTCAAACCCAGGTCCACTGGACTTAGAAGGTTATTATTCTCTTGTCACTGTTGCATTACACTGGGAGAGACAACACGAAAAGAACAGGTAGGACTTCGAACTCTATCCGTGTGCGGAGGATCTGGAAATAAATGACTCAGCAGGGAAGAATTATGGGCAGAGCTGGGATGATGTAAGACGGGGAATTGGGAATGGGAGGTAATAAATTCCCACTTAGCCTGTCTTTTCAGTAAAGGATACTTAAAGACTTGTTGCATAACCGTCTTTATCCCCTAATAACTGCTTCTCTCTGGGATGATAGGATTTCCTGAGCAACAGAATCTGAGTCTGGAGCCTACAACGTCAAGTCCGTTAGGATAGAGAGAGTGAGGAACAGCGCGCATGGTATGGATTCTGTATGCTTACCGGAGGGAAGGATGATCTCACAACAGCATATACCATACAAGAGATGGTTTAGGGAATGAACAGCACAGAACCCGTTCTTGCTAAATGCATTGTAGAAAAAGGCCATTCACTTACGTTCTATGTGGGTTTCTTTCAGGAATGAAAGTATATGCTGTTAAGTCCTCACTCAGTGTCATCACTCGGTTCTGCGACTAAGTGAAACATGTCATGAAACCAGTTTTCCCACAGGCTAATAGATATAAACGAGAGTTAAGTTCCTACAGCATCTTTTTGACGTTATAACAGAACGATACTGAACAGAAGAGTGATATCTGAGGACCTGCTGGATACGAATTTCATGTTTTGGCTGCCTTACCTTATCTTTCTCAGAGGATCTTAGGTCCTCTAACACCTCCGTGGCTTCCACTGATGCTCAGACTCTCCACCCGAAGTAGCTTTCATCAGTCACCATGGATCTGGGTCACCACCTTCCTCCTCCAACGAGGACCCCAGCGAGAAGTGATTCTTGAACTGCTGTCATTCATTTGTTATCATCTTGAGTTTCCTGTAGACACAAACCACCACCACTAAATTTCGAAGTTACCTTAGTAAAAACATTATTTGATCTAATAAAATATTATTTAAAAAGCAAACTTCTTACAACGCCTTAAAATGGAAAAATCTATATGATTTGCCATAAACAGTAAGGAACTAGAAAAGTAAGCCCACCAAATAATATTAACATTTAAGTTGTTGATTTTAAGTAGAAATATAATATTGTCACTATAATTAGTTACAGAATTTATACTGAAAAAAAAAAAAAAAAACCCCAATGAGGATAAGGGAACTTTCTATAGTTCCTTCAGAATATTCTGTTTTGCATCGCTAAGCTTAGGATAAAGATGAAATTTCCTGTCAATAAGATTATTTTTATCTTGAATCCTAATTTATATTTGTACATAGGAAAGAAAAACTACATCCATTAACTGTACCTTTGCTGATAGAGTTAGACATGGAGAATAATGATATAAGCAACTTTGTTCAACAAATTTTTGTGTATAGAGAAGCCATCAGGAGCAATATCCAGAATCTAGTTTTCTGACTGTGTCCAGCTATTTGTCCAGCAGAGCAATGGCAAATTGTCTTACCCATGCACAGCCACCATCCTGTTAGAATATTATGAAGATACACTTGCAAGCTATTTCTAAGTGTGTTCCTGAACTGGGTTTAGTGAGGATCACAGCTGAATTCATAGTCAGGTCATCCAGTAACAAAAAATAATTTACATGCCCTGTCCAGTTTGGCTCAGTGGTTAGAGCGTTGGCCTGTGGTCCGGAGAGACCCGGGTTCGGTTCCCGCTAAGGGCACGTACTTCGGTTGCAGTTTGTCCCTGGCCTTGGTTGGTCGTGCGGGTGGCAGCCACTCGATGTGTCCCTTTCACATCGATGTTTCTCTCTCTCCCTTCCTCTCTCTCCCTCCCACTCTATCTGTACAAAAAAATGGAAAAAATATCCTCAGGTGAGGATTAAAAAAATAATAATAATTTATATAATTGTTTGTTCATTT